AGAGAGAGAGAGAGAGAGAGAGAGAGAGAAAGAGAGAGAGAGAGAGAGAGAGAAATGCAGAGATTGAGTGCTCTAATCAAATTCATTAATTTGGCTTAGGCCCAGGCGTTTATTAATTACATTATACGTCGCTTGAATGTCGATGCCAGTTATAGTTGCTAGCCAAGTAGCCTACTGCCACGCCCTCGTCTGGCGCGAGCCACCTCATGCGTTGCTAATTAGTCTAAACTGATTAGTTATTGTAAAAAAAAAAACAAACTTGTATGCGGGTATATATATATGTGTGTGTGTGTGTGTGTGCGTGTGTTGGTCAGCGAGTAAACGTATCCAGGCGACACACACGCACGCACTTCAGCAGCAACAACTCCCACACGCTGTTGCTGGCCTCTTGTAGTTGCTATCGTCATGCGATTTTATCTACCACTCACTACAGAGACAAGTATTAAAGTAAGGCAGAAGTTGTTGCTGTTGCCAGGGCATAACACCTTGAAGCCGTTGCACATTACAGCCAACACGTAACCGGTTGGGGGCAGTCGCCAAGGTGTTGAAACTGATAAGCTGATTGACTGTATGGGTGAAAATAAAGGAGTTTAAAGGGGGAACAAAAATAAAACAGAAAAAGTTGCAGATAAATCCATTTGATATATGAAAAATGTAATGCTTGTAGAGCGGAAGACTTCTTAAAGATATCTTATGATATAAATAGAATATATTGCAGCAGAGATAGAATTCTGAGAGGTCAAAGATTGAAATTACTTTAAGTGATCTTTAGGTTCAAAGTTCTATCAGGGTTCGTTTATGACTTACTTTGTAGATAATTGTGAGGCCCAATTTCTGTTCAGTTGAACAGCACAAATAAATAATTTGAATGTTGAATTGTAGATTTTTGCTTACGATAAAATCAAAGTTTTGCATTAACACATTCTTCATTTGTATATATATAAGTTGAATGTAACAAAATAATAATTATATTGTTAAAATTTTCGTACATCTAAAATAAAATATATTGTTACTCATTTGTTTATTTGTGACTTGCTTGCTGACCTAGATAGCAATAGTATTTAGTGCCATGAAATATTTTAATGAAATTGTTTTTCGACTATAGCAATTAGAGATTTATATATATATGCGGCGCCGATAGGTGGCGATCTGTTAGGCTTTATATGGTATATAAATTACGTAATCTAATTTATGGCAAAATAATTTGCACTTATTTAACGCCAAAGCATACAATTAGAATAAATATTTATGTATTTGCGCACACATCATAAATAATTATGCAAAATATGCTGCGAAAGCTAACCTTTGCGACCGGCCGAAAGAACAGGAAACAATTGCATTTTAATTATAATAAATTAAGTTTTAGCCACGCATTTGCATAACAAAATGGCGTAAAAAACTGCGAAAAATGCGGCAGAGGATTTATTATGCGCTTGGGCTGAAACGTATTGCATTACTCGCCCATAAATTATGGCGAAAGTTAATTAAATAGAAAACAGGCATTATCGAGCAGCCGCGCTATCAGCTGATAATAAGAGCTTATCTAACTGTTACATAGACTATACTTAAATACGTGTCTGATAATTTATGGTACTCACGCATTTCTTTCTTATTTTGCAGATAAGAAGTGCTGAAGTCATTGAAAGTACATTTATTTATAAACAAATAAATAATTGATGGATCGTTGAGCGTTGAGGTGAGTGCCCAGAGAAGAAAAATCCAAATCAAATGGATACGAGCCAAACAGGAAATTGACATTCGCCCCATTTGGGTGCACAACAAATTTTTGCCAATGTCAATTTGTTGCGTGGAAAAATATAAATATAATACAAATAATAATGATAAAAAACCAAAATGAAAACAAGTTCATTGTTTTGGGCTCAAACTAATAAGCGCCGAATATGGCCAACAATTTAGCCAACTCCCGGCAGCAGTTGCCGTTGCAGTTGGCAGTTGCAGTTGGCAGTTGCAGTTGCTGTTGGCAGTTGTCTGTCTGTCCGTCTGTCTGGCTCTCGAGATGCGCCCAAGTAGCTTAACATTGTATGGCATTGTCTTTGCTGCTGGCTGCTCGCTTCTCGTTATTGTGCCAAATGGCCATAAAAGGTTAATTGGGTCCTTAGCAACTTGGCCGGCAACAAAAACAAATGATGCCAACATTCCACGCTGCTTACCTCAGCCACTGTCACTGCCCCTCGCTCCCTCTGCCGCTGTGCCTGTTGCCATGGATGTGTTTACAACTCTGCTCTGCTCTGCCCTTGCTGTGGCTGCAACATAGAAAAATCTTAATTAGTTAATTAAAACAACAAACAAAGGCCAGTGCGAGCCTCAGATCCAGACAGCGTCCACTGCAACTAGTTCAGTTGGGCTACTGCATAATTCATGCGCCTTTAATGACAACCGCAACTCGAGCAGGACACCAAAGTCAAAGACAGAGTCTAACCCGATGTTGTAGCTACACAATGAGAAAATTTACGGAATTCTCTGCTCAAATTAAGTACAAATCTTGTCCCAGTCGAAATATGTTAGACATCCACTGAAATTGAGGTAGTGCCCGAATTCCTCAACTCTCTGCCCCAGTCAATAGTCAGTCGAAGAAGACGACTTTTTCTTTGTAGAAAACAATGTGTGTTCTCTTTAGATGTTTGGTTATTAAATTCAATTAAAGTATGGCTAAGTGAAGTCTGTTTTATAATTAATTTATTCAATTTAAAGTTTAATATTTATCTCAAGTAAATTAAATTAAAATATGAAAAAATGTTAGATTGAAAGTAAAAAAGATATTTTCAAAATTTAATTCATCCTATAAATATTTTGAAAATTACTTTAGTAAATACTATATAAATACATATGTATATGTTTATTGCTCTGTTCAGTACTTATTTGATCTTAATAATAAAACGAAAGCTAGGAATAGATTGAATACAAACATACGGAGGGATTTAAACTCCAATTCAAACTCTCTACAAAAATTATCGTTAGGTGAACTAAAATAATAATCTAAAAAATACCCTGATTGGAAAAGATATTTCATATATTTGAGTATTGATATAAAAACCCATTGATAATTTTTCCAATATGACATCCCCTTTTCTCTTAGTGTAATTGCTTTGATGTTGGCTGTGCTTGTTCTTCTACTTGATGCTGTTGCTGCTGTTGTTGCTGTTGCTGTTGCTGTTGTTGTTGCAGCAGCAACAGCAGCCGTACGATAGAGACACGTTGTCTGCTATAGATCCCTAGTATGTGTGCTTGTGTGCGTGAGTGTGTGTGTGTGTGTGTGTGTGTGTGTGCGAGCTTGTGTTGACTCAAATCCCCGGAGGTGACATTAAACTATGAAAGGCATTTAGTTTAGCGATTTATATAGGCGACTTTTTGACAGTTTTATGTCGCTCGCTGTCCACTGGGCTGCCTTCAAGGTGCAGATTGAGGATAACGAGCTGAAAACCTATAAAAACAACAACAAGCAGAGCAAAGCAATGGGGAAGAGGCTAGAGCAACTGCAGCCTGCTTGGTTTATGCTTCATTAAATAGCCAGGCAATGTTTATATTTCAGTGGCTAAGGACCTCGTTATCCGCCTCAATCAATGCAATTGCGCGGAAGCGATTTATGGGTGCCAACTACTTGAAGCCCTCTACAGCCACTGCAATTGCAACATTTCGCTAGCCAAGTGGACAGCGAAAATAAAAACTGTAAAGAAAACCTGAAGATGTGTAGAAATCGAGAATATGGCAGCACATTTATTTGGCTTTAGCTGCGAAACTTTACGAGAGCACAGAGCACGAAATTTCATATTCTAAGCTATGCCAAAGGAAAAATATATTTATGGAGCAGTCAACTGAAAACTCAGTTGGTTTTTAATGGAATCGAAAGCTCTTAAATTCTTAAATAACAGCGAACGGAAAAGGAGATGATAAAATAGATTGCACACTTTGTCGGGGGAAATCGGGAGACGAGTAAAAAGAGAAAATTGAGAAAAGCTAATAAATTGGCTTTTTATGAGTCCTTAAATATAATATTCTTATCGTATATTCGAAATTTGTGAGAAGCTGTTGAAGGAGGAGGAAGTCAACAGCATATATAAATTATATGTGTAAATAAAATCATGAGTTAAACGAAGTCTCCCACGATTTGAGCTATCTATGTAATATTGTAGTTCAGTTCATAAATTTTCTATACAATATGTCTGCTAATAAAAGTCTATTTCCTTCGTGAGAGAATTATTTTCTATAATTAGGGAGCTTTAACTCTTAACTGCATTGACTTCAGCTTATGATTAATGTTCAGGTCTATTGGCCTTTCTATGAATACTCATTCATATCGAATGGCACTTTGCTGTGATTTAATTAAGCCGAACCATCAACATTTGACCTGAAATCAATGCCGGCAACGAGTTCAAGTTCAATTCAAGGTTAAAAAAGAGAATAAAAAGAAGCAGAAGAAGAAGCGAAGAAATGAGAAATATCTACCATGCATAGCGTTTGTTTAACTACAGGTTTAACCTCTTGACTTTGCAGATTCACACAAATTGTTTGGCTTTTAGTTAACCCTTACAGAGGAAACAAAAGCTCCAATCGTGCGATGCCATTACGGCCACAGCACGCGGGCTAACCCGACCAGTGAATGTGTTTATCCAAGTTTATATATGTATATGCATATGTGCATATATGTATGTGGGTATGTATGCGTTAGTAGGGTAGTCCGATCGGGTCTATATCACGCAACCCAAAGCTATTTGTTCTGTTGTTGTTGTTCTATTTTTTTTTTGACTATTTTTTGTGTTGGTCATAAAAAATGACCAACTGCCATTAGGGGCACAGAAATGAAACCATTTTTGTCATTTGACAGGCAATTTTCGAGCGTTACATTTTTCGATTTCTCTTTCGTAGCCCCGCCACTAGTCTCGCCCGCCGCCCCCCTCTAATTTGTGGTGCCAACGCACAACAAAATTACTCGACCCGCAGCCAGCAGAAAGAGATATGAGACTGCGAGTGTGTGAGAATGTGTTTGAGTGTGTGTGTTTGTTATGTGTGTATTCTGTCAGTTGCGCCCACAGAATGTTTTCTGGCCATAATGTGTGGACCCTTCCTTGCCTTCTCCCCTCTCACTGCTGCGTGCAAAAATCTGTGGATAGTTTATCTAGAGCTGAAAGCATTTTTCCAGCCCATGCACATTTCGCATGGATCCTTAGGCATTTCTTATGGCTCCCTTCACTCACTCCCACTCAATCCCTTGCGCTGCCTCTCTCGCTCTCTCTCTCTCTCACTCTACTAATCGAATTGCGACATTGAAATATATTGACTTTATTATCCAACCGCTGGGATGCGTGCGTGTGGGCATGGACCTATCATTTGATTAAATCTAAATCTGCTTATGAACCCAAGTTTTCTCTCGCCGGGCCTTTTCCATAATTTCCAGAAGAAAGCTGCATAAACAAAATTAACGCAGATAACTTTTTTGCAGATTTATTGCGCCAGTTGGCCAAATAGTTGGCGAATTAGTTTGCATCTTTCTATTATTTTCACTTGCCTTTTATTCAATTTGCAAAGACTTGGGCAGCCAGTTGGCCAAGGTCCAAGCAGCTTTAAGCGTGGACGGCGAAGGCGAAATGCTGGAATGAAAAGGCAAAGTGAAAAACGTGAAAAACTGCAAGTTGTTGTTGCCGTTGCTGTTGCTGTTGTTGTTGCTGTTAGGGGCAACTCTTTGCAATAAGCCTGAATAGCCGAATGAATGCCTGAATGGTTGAATGAGCGCTCGAGTGGTAGACAAACGAATAAATATGGGGGTCGAGCCATATAGCAGCCAACAGCGCTCCACGCAGCTCAGCTGACCTGGCCAAGAGAGCTGCCCCCGTCGCTGCCCATTTGGAGTCAAAGGCTGGAAATTTCATGCATATGCAAATGTAGAATTGATTTCTGTGTTGGCTGTGCTGGCTTTTTTTATGCGATATATTTGTTGGCTTTCCGTTCGCCTGTTTTGGTGGTTTTCCTCTTGCATTTCCCCCTGTTTTTGGTGGATGACCTTGCGCTTAGTCAAGTGCAAGGTTATGCGCAAGTCCAGCCAAAGACAAGTTTTCCGCTAATCAGTTTTCGGTATTCAATTAAGTAATTTGCTGCAAACTTTCAACGAGTTTTTCTCGAAACTTTGCACAAGCTTTTTTTCGGTCTCTCGGTCTGCGCATAGCTTAGCTAATCCATTGACAGCGTGTCTCAATTAATCAAGCTGAAAGCTGAAAGCTGAAAGAGTGGCAAAGAAGAGAAGAAAAAACTGCGCTTGGGCTCCATGTTTTGCCTGTAATTTCGTGCAATCATTTAATTGCGATTTAATAGCGCGCTCATCCTGTAATTTGCTTTTTTCTGCACATAATGAGAATCGCATAGAGCGGCGTTAGGTAAAAGCATTGTGAATTGTGGCAAAGCCCCAGCCAGGAGCCAATGCGTACGTGTGCGCTGGCAAAAACATTTAATTACGATTGTGAGCATAGACAGTCATGACTCTGACAGGAATCTATATACTGGATAACAGAGAAAAAACAGAGAGAGGGAGAGAGGGAGAGTGTGTGAGCCGGAGATAGTGCTATTCGTATGTGCAGCAAATTAAAGGCTATAAAAAATGCGTGGCATGTTGCATTCGCCGAGGATGCAGTTGCTATCTATCTATCGAGCTGGCCGAAATGGGGAGATCCAACAGTTGTTGCTCTC